CCATGTAAAGAAGGGATGGACTGGCTGAGCATCTAATACAGGGGCGACTCACAGTCGGCTCAGTCCTCGTCCAACCGAAACTGCCGGCGAGCACTGAAAATCAGCTAGAGCGCCCTGTAAGGAGAACGGCGGGGAAACTGGGGCCTGTCGCCGGGCTTAATTCAGCCCCCAAAGGCCGCACAGGCGGCAGGAAAGGGGGCCACATTCGGTACGGTGCGCCGGGCTCACCACCTCCTTGACCACCAACGGGTTCCTTCTTGGTACGGGCAAGCTGACCGGGCCATCCTTGCCACCGAGCTGACACCCCTCATTCTCTCGCTGCACTGCGCTCAACATTTTCGAGAATTGTCTTTTGACGAAGGCGACTCCAGTCTGGGCGGGCAAGCATGGGAATACGTCGATTCTAGGCGCGACGTAGCTTCGGCACACTGCTTAGCGACTCGGACGTGGTCGAGGTCCAAAGTGCAGAACCGCAGGCGCAAACATGGCCGATGGCAACCTCGAAGACGGTTGGACGACGGTCCGCAGACAGTTCCAGGGTCACCCCGAACGTTTGCCGCCCGCCCAGCGCGAGCTCCACGAGAGAACCCAGATTAAGGAATGGGAATCATCGGACGGTCACTGGAGTGGCATGTAAGTTCAACCTCACCTGCCCTCGACCATCCCCAGTCACCTCCCTTTCACCATCATGAAGGCTGACATGTTTGCGGGACAGAGGAAAGCACCCTGCCGACTTCACCGAATCGAAAAAGCTCCACCACAAGATCACCGTGCCTCAGGACAATAGTTTAGGTTGGGGTACGTACGGTCGCGTCGAAAAGGTCACCCATCGAACGGTCTGTCTGGCGCGAAAATGGATTCAGCCGAGGCGCGGTCGCACGATAGAGATCCTCCGCGAGGAGGCACACGTCATGGAAAGGCTGGACCACGACCACATTGTCAAGTTGATTGGCACCTATACGTTTAGACAGCGGGAGCTATATCTTCTGATATGGCCAGTGGCCATCTGCAACTTGGACGAATTACTCACAGATCTCGACGATTTAAGGAGCGGCCAAGGCGATCGAGAGGATATCACCAAGAGACTCATGGCGCTGGGTCTTACCGACTTAAGTGCTATCCAGGGCAGCGTCCGCGATGCCGCCAGCCCGGGCTCAAAGGGCAAATGTCCTCTGAAGTTCCTCCAGCGCATTATGGGCTGCATCGGCCAAGCTGTTACCTATTGCCATCATTCCAACATTCGCCATCTCGATCTCAAGCCTACGAACATCCTGCTAAATCCTGAGAGAGTCTACTTGGCCGACTTTGGTATCGCTCGGGACGTGAACGACCAAGAAAAGACTACGACAATCGGCCATCAGGGGACGCCAAAATGGCGGGCCCCTGAGATTTACGACTTGAAGGACTGGTCAATGAAATCTGCCGATATCTACTCTTTGGGCCTCATCTATCTGAATATTGCCACAGCAGTGTACCATGGCAACCTGTCGGCCTTTTATACTGTGCTTGAGGACCTCTTTCCTCGCTCTCGTGCCGAAAAGCTGGAAGGGTTTCAACAACAACTGACCCTCCACGCACTAGCGACGCAGCAATTTCATGAGGCAACATCCCCGACGGTTTCTCCACGACACGTTCTGGGCTTGACCCAGAGAATGCTCTTTCTTGAACCAGGAAGCCGGCCTCGGGCAGATCAGGTGGATCATGAACTCGTCGACCTCGGTGGTATTGATCAGGTCTACCATAGTCCGTGCTGCAGAAAGAGCACGAGATACTTATCAAAGCGAATCGATAATAGGCTATCCGCGACCCATCGTGAGAACGTCAGTCTCAAAGCTGAAGTTGAGCGCCTCAAAAGGGAGAACGCGGGGTTGGTGGGTATGGATGAGACTTATAACATGCGTTTGGTGAACCAAGAAAGGTCGCACGCCAGGCACATTGAAAGCTTGACGAAAAGCTTGACGAAGCAGCTGGAAGAAGAGAGGGAAAAGCGCAGGAAAGCGGAGGGAAAGATGGCACAGGCACAGATGGATATGCAGGCAAGAAGGCATAGTCGGTCAGGCTTGCCACGGGTTGAAGCTACGCAGCAGATTCGCTCAACCAACACCCCTGAAATCGGCAGTGGTCTCGGAATTCGTATGAGGCCACAGACACATCCCATGCCTCAGACCGCCGTTCGACCACCTCCAGTATCAGCACCCTCTGCAGCTCCGTCCCGTCCTGCAGTCGTGACACGAATCCCCTCTGAACAAGCGAAAGCCTGGGTTATTCGGAACGCGGCCGTAATGTCAAGCGGCATCCCAACTCCAGCTCGTACAACGGATTCCCCGTCTCCGAACCCGCAAACGCCACCAACATCGGCGTTGCCATCCCGCAGCTCAGCGTCTCGTCTTCCCATTCTCGCAAAGATCCCGGCGACCCCGCGCACGAGCACGCCGACTCTTGCTCGCGACCCGAGCTTGACTGACAGCACGCAAGCCAGCATGTCTTCTTCGATCTTTTCACGCCGTAGCTTTGATACGACGACTGAGGCAGCGCCGACTCCGCCAGCCGTCAGTCCAGTGATCAAGAAAGATACTTTCGATATGACCGTTCGGGAGGTTCCAGCACCGCCGACGTCTAACGACGAGGCACCGAGTCCGGTGTTGTCCATTCCGCCATCCTTCTCGTCGGTCTTGTCGTCTCCGCGCACGGCAACTGTCGATCTGGCATCCGTCGCGGGCAGCGAGATTTCGCAGGAAGGCTTGGCTGCCATAAATGTGCCTTCTTTGCAGTCGTCCAAGAGCTGGGCAGCTGTGGCTGGCCAAGGGAAGGGGTTGGCCAGGATAGTCATAAGTTCTCCGTCGAAGGCAACTCAGTCGGTGACTCCGACTGCACCTGCTTCTGCTGGGCGAGGGAGAACCAGAGACCGGACGACACCTAGCTCTGGCATGTAGTAGATACACGAGGTTATGATTTATGATTGAATATGGAGCAAAAACCGGTGGAGATAATTTCCAACATAGTGTGTTCGTCGTTATGACATGATGAATGAACAGCTCCGGGCTTGATCGAGACATGGCTCAAAGGCTCTGGGCTTTGTTGGTATCATTGAATAAGATGGGAATTTACATAAACGCGTCACTATGCTTCCTCCTTGGAAGGTTTGACCGGACCAAGCTCCAAGCCCCCAAGACTCCCTTTCCATCTGTCCACTCTCTTCTTCTTGAACCTTTTCAACTTCGTCTCCTTTCTCAACTTTCGATGCTTCATGTACGGCCGAAGCTTCTCGATCACGGTCGGCACAATCCTCACCCCATGCCTCCTCGCCTCCTCCACTTCCTGGGCCAGCAGCTCCTCCTCCCCTTTAACAGCCTCAATCAGCGCCTTCGCCTTGGCCAATTCGTTCTGCCGTTCTCTGTCAATTTGCCCAATCATATGGTAGTACGAATCCTGCACCGATTGGTAGTAAGTCGACGTCGACACGCTGTGGCCCGCGCGACTATGCTGCCCCGCGGCCCTCAACTGCTCTTCCACCAAGCTATCCCACTCGTCCTCCTCCCGGGCCGCCGCATAGTCGCACTCGGTCATCTCGATGCTGACCTCATTGATCCGGGCCTTGCGCCACGTCTTGCGGCGCAAGATGTCGCTGATCACGCGCGGCTGCGGCCGCTTGTGGCGGAGGAACGTGTGCCCCTGCGCCGTGACGATGACTTGCGGGATCTTCCTCCGTCCCTCGAAGCTGTCGCGCGGCCGCGGGAACAGACGGGAGACGTACTTGGGCTCCTCTCCGTCCGCCGAGATCCTCTGGAGGACGGGTTTCGGGGGCGGGGTTGCCGGCCCGCAAGGTTTCCTTCCAGGCCGCTTTTTCGCTTCTGCGCGGGCGATGTGCTCGTTCTTTTGGCGGAGGTAGGTGATTATCTCGGCTTGTTCTTTCGACTCGGGAACTCGTGCGTTTTTGAAAAAGGTAAGAAACTGTCCGCGGGGCACCTCCCATTAGTTTCTTGCGCCGGTTTTCGAGGGAGGATTCAAGAGATCGGAATGCGCACCTTGTATCCCGCCGACAGCGCAGCAAAGATCAGCCGTGGGCTCACGTCCGCCTTGTTGCGCTGGAAGCCCCTCTTGATGAGATCCGGCACGGGGTTCTTTCCCTTCCTGCAGACATCTTGGGGAAGCGTCACCTCGCGGCCTTCCCGAAGGAGGGCGCGGAAGAGGGCTATGACAGCAATTCGGTGCCTCGAGCTGCGGGCGGCTATGAACTGCTGTTTGGGCATCGTCGTCCAGTCGAGTGTCGCATCTTGAAATTTTGGGCGGGTGGGAGCTTGGGGGGATCGAAGCTCCGTCGTGATCGGCGCTTGGGCCTCTTATCTTATCGGCAGGTCTTATCTTATCGGTGACCTTCTGACGCATTACGTAGATGCTGCCTAGGTATGTTCTCGCACACCTCAAGCCTGTTTATTTTCTTCTTCTTTGTTCTCCCAATTAATCTAACTACTTTCTACATTGAGATACCTACGGCTTCGTAGGTTTTCCGTCAAAAGTACTAGGTACTCATCGGATCCTCGTTCACAGTGCTTCCGGGAATGTGGCCTCGAGACTCGGTCCGTAGTCTGCCTAAGACAGCTGATCGACCGTAAGCCGGCACACGCATCAATTTGCCTGCAATAATGAACATGAATCAAATTAGTTTCCTACGTGAGAATGAGCTGACGCTTCCTGAAAAGGGGGAGTCAGAGTGTGCTAAGAAAGCCCACATGTTCCGACTCAGACAATTCCAAAGGACCGACGATCGGAATGTTGTCGAAACAATACCCAGACATCCTGTGGAATTCCAAAGTGATGAGCTAACGAATGAGACACATAAAAACATCGGTAAAAATAATGATAAGTAAAGCTGGATATAAGCATGGCAGGAAATAATTTCCGCCGCTCAATGATTCTGGCTCTATCGTTGCTCTCATCGTCGCTCCTCTTGCACTTACAAGTCCTCAAGAGCAATCATCCAACCAACCTCTGGAGACGCCATGAATATCCCAAAGACAACCTTGGCCTTCCTTTGGTGCTCGGGAAGCCTGCTCTTGGCCTCCGGGCTGACGCAATATCCTGCAGAGGCACCCTTCAGATTCATCAGCTGCGTGGCCCTAAGCGGCACCGACCTTGGGAGTATCTTTTACCCAAAAGCAGCCGGTATCAGCCCTCAAGCGTGCCAGCAACAATGTGCCTTGAGCGACTCTCACTTCGCAGCTTTGGGGAGCGGCGTGGATTGCTACTGTTCTCACGCCACCACTGGGCACGAGATGTATCCGGCGCTTGCTCCCGGTGCTAATGACAGCTTCAGTCTCTGCAACACGCCATGCCAGAACTTCCCAGACTATGCATGTGGCGGCACATATGGAACAAGGAAGATCTACAACATCTTCGGTGTTTGTAACCCGATCTCTCCGTCCCCTCCAGCACCGACGACGACATCAACAACATCAACTTCGAGCACCCAGGCCTCTAGCAGCATGGCTACATCCAGTTCCTCTACGGTCGATACAGCATCCAGCTCATCTTCCACCAGTCCTTCCAGTTCCGAAACAACTACCGTAGCTGCCTCCACAACATCATCTGCAACGTCATCTACACTACCGTCTTCAGCTTCCTCGACGACATCGTCTGTGCCATCATCTGAGTCATTATCTTCTACAACATCATCCACAGCATCATCCACTGTTTCATTGAGTGGAACCTCCACGGTGACAGAGAGCAGTTCGACAACAACTCCTTCTGCGTCAGAGACTCCAGGCACTTCCAGCTCTTCAAGTGTTTCGGTTTCTGCAGTCGCCACTACCAATACACTTTCTTCCAGTTCCCAGAGTTCTGCGATCACGACGACTTCACAGTCGACGTCAATCTCTACTGTTTCACCGCCCGCTAGCATCTCAGCTTCAATCTCGCCATCTTCAAGCCATATCACTCAGTCCGGAAGTCAGTCGATCGTTCCCACCTCTTCATTGAGCCAAACCAGAAGCACAAGCACATCTACAGGGTTTCCTACCATATCTCCGCCATTTTTAATGACGAATTCCTCTTCCACTATATCTCCCACCAGCCTGATTCCACCACCTTCGAGTTCTTCCGCCAGCTCAAGCGGCACCTTCAACCCGCCTTCATCAGGCGGGCCTTCATCGGGAACAGGGAGTTCAATTGCAAGCTCGGTTGTTGGCACCACTTCAATACCCCAATTAGGCCCCTCCAGCTCATTTTCTGGCACTTCGCAAACTCCAGTGTCACCTTCAGAGTCTCGGCCGGTATCCTCACCAGGAATGCCAGGATCGTCGTCTTCTGCCCTAAGTTCAATCGCAACATCTAGCCCGTTCTCGACAGCATCTGGAAGCCCATCCTCCAACGGTCTGGTAGCATCGTCTGGGTCGAGTCAGGGTACACCGACTATTACACCAGGTTCTACTGCGACGTTTACCACCAGCTCACCTCTTGCATCCACTAGCAGCTCGCAGATTCTGGTCAACGTTCCCGTTGTTTTCACCATTATTCCTCCTCCTCCAGCAACCTCAAGCGCTGCTTGAAAGACCGCACGGCAGTGCGTTATGCCGAGTCTGTACCCACAAATTCACAGGAAACTTCCAAAATCAACCTTGGTGGGAAGGAATTCTTGTTTAATTTCACTTCAATCAGAATCACTTGACAGTGCGAACCAAAACCAACTTGTTTGAAAGTAGAAACTATGACCTATCCATTCAAGGGAAACGTGGAACCTAACATCACCGCAGCATTCCACAGCTGACAGAGTACCAAGCCCGATCCCACCCAGCGGGAATAAATAAGCTTAAAGTCCGCAGTATGACTCTAAGTGGACACAGTCGCACTTCGTGAAAGCGAGGGGCATGAGTGGCTCAAGCCACAAGGTTCGTCCGGCCTCGGCCGCTGTAACCGACCGTTGAACCGGATGGTAACGGACTTGATGTATGGGGTTGATCCGAAACGTCTGAAAATAATTGTTGTGGTCTAGATTGAATTGAGGGAAGGTATCCATTTTACGTCATTTCTTAGGCTCGCAATGAAGGCCGCTGGTGACGGAGCCGTACGGCATCGGAGTTTCACGGAATTTCCTCGTCTGAAGACCGATGTCCGACGCGAACTACGCAAACCAATGAACTGCAGCTCCTCCCATTATCAATGTCGTAACATCTGACATTCGTGGATTCTAACGTTAGCTAAATTATTCGAAAATAAAGCAATTATTAATTTCAACGCAGCTCGCCTCCAGATATTTGTCGCGAACAGCGACCACAACTAACCAAGTTCCATTCATATCTTCTACAAAAGGTGTGAGAAACACCCCGTTCGTCTGATCATTCTACTATCAATAACTCTTCTTCCCTCGAGGTGACTGGCTGGGCATCATCGACTTCCCCGCCTTTCTGAACCATCAACACCATGTCCTCCGAAGCTCACGCGAAAACGCTTCAGGCCTTAGAGCCTCTGATCCAACTTCTGAGTCCGGGCTCTATCTTGACTCCCAAAGATGAGGCTTATACGCATCACTCCGAGCCGTTTGCAATTCAAAAGCAGCAAAACCCCGCGGTCGTCCTTGTTCCGGGCTCGGTCAACGAGCTTTCGGAAATCGTCCGCTTTCTTTACGCCTCGGACCTGGATTTCGTCATCCGAGGCCATGGGTTCAAGTCGCCGTCGGCTAAAGACGTCGTGATCAGCATGATGAACTTCAAGGACATCAGCTACGATCCAGTCAAGAAAATCGCTACGGTTGGTGCAACTGCTACCTGGTCAGAGGTGGTGACATACATGGATAAAGTCGACCCGGAATACTCCGGTAAGTAATATTCATCTGTAGGTACCGTCCCGAAGGAGTATTCGCTGACGTTGCAAAGTACCTGTGGCTCGCACTCCAGCGATTGGTGTCGCTGGGGCTATCCTGAATGGCGGTATTTCTTGGATGTCCACCGAATATGGCTGCATTTGCGACCCGGTCAACTTCCTCGACGCGGAGGTTGTCAAGTATGACGGCACCGTCGTTATGGCATCTCAAGAGCCTGATCTCTTGTGGTCCCTGAGAGGTAGTGGCGGTGGCTTTGGAAGTGAGTCAATCATGAAAAGATGAAGCCGTCTAAGTAACGACTAATAAAATTCGTAGTCATCACCAAGGTCATGCTTCGGGCCCATCAGTATCCAACAGATATCTGGTCCGGCCTGGTTATGGTGCCACGCAAATGGTTACCGCAGTTGATAGACGAGATGGTTGAGTTCAACCACTCAGTGCCCCACCCCAAAATTACCTATTTCATGTACCTGCTGCCCGAAAGACTTCTTCACACAATTCTAGAACAGGAAGAGCCGGACGCTGGGGACGCGGTGATTTTCCACGTGTATGATGCACTTGGGGAGAAGCATGGTCGAGCAGCGTTTAGCTGGGTGCTTGATAAACCCGGCGCTATTGACCGAACCAGGATCACCAACATGAAGGGTGTCGTCGACATGCAGCGTAAGTTCGCGCCTGGTCATACTGGAGGATTTGTACTAAGTAATGCTTACCAGGAAACGCCGCCGTCCTTCGAGGCAAGATGAAGACATTGTATGCGCCGATGGCTCTCCCCGACGTGGATCGAGACACTTTGAATCGAGCAGTTGCATTTTACGACAAGCTAGGGTCTCTGGATAAATCCATTCAGGACATCTCTAGTGTAATTTTTGAATGCCTTTTGCTGGTGAGCCCACTCTAGCGAAGCACATGTCCCTAACTAACATTATGCATGAAAGCGCCCTCCAATTGGAGGCACCGCCGAAGTTGCCTGGCCTCGGGCTCCAGGTCTGCACCATCTCTTGCTCCTCATCGCAAGCTGCCCCGGAGATGGTACGAAAGAGCAGGAAGAGCTCCTTCGGAAGATTTCTATCGATGCGCCTAAAGAGGTTTTAGAAGATAAGCTTGGCATAGCGGAGGTTAACCCTGCTGGTCTCGAACTTGATTATCACAGTGCCAAGGCAGTAAGACCAACTCCACAGTCACCGTATGACTCCGCCATCAGCACTAACATCGCGATAGGTGTACAGAGAACATTACGAGAAGCTACTTGGGCTTAGGAAATTGTATGACCCGAAGTCACGGTTCAAGTCCTTCTTCTAGTTGGACAATCTGGCGGCTGAGCTCGCTTGTGCTAGTCTCGATTTTGTTAATTAACTTGCTCCAAATGTCGTCTCTTTGTTCTTGGGGTCTTCTTGCAGTCAACAATTTGCTGTTCAGATGAGAGTGTGCCAGATGTGATGCGATATGATGTCATTTAAGCTGGAATCATTCACATCTCTGAGAGGTTACGAGATAGAGTCTCTCGGTCATTGCGTGTTCGCCGAGACCGATGATGTAATGTTACGGAACGCAAACGAATTAAAGAACTCTTTCGGGACCGGCGGCTTATATCGACCACAAGACATTGGCAACCGCACCATAGTTGGTCCCAACCTCTCTTCTTCTGATAATATAATACTCACAAGATGACCAGATCTTCCTCCTCCCATATCTTCTAGAAGGTGGTCAAAATGAGATCTATGCAAAACCAATGGCTAAGCACAAAACTAAGGCTATATAGTATTGTAGGGAGAGGCGTAAACATTGCGCCACATGTTGTCCAGCATGCACTTTCCAATTACCGTGTCCGCTGCTGATGTCTGGATTCTGTAATAAATCCATTTGAACTCCGCCGCGTCGACACAGCCCGTTTTGATCGTCCTGCGATATGTTCAGCAGCTAATAGTAGCGGCCTGTCGCAGGTCACCGGCCGTACTAGCAAGGATGGACGACGATCCGGGCCTCCGCGGCTTGCCGCGTCTCCACCATACGAGCGACTCGGGTCCATTCGCATGATGAGACGAACTCTAAAAAAATAATCTGCTATGGAAAAGACTTGTCTGCTCACCGAGAGACCCCTGAATTACGGCTTCGACTTCGTCACTTGGGTAGATAGGAACTGCCGGGAGGAATCCACTCTCATGGGTCTTGCGGCGACTCTATTGCCATATCTATCTTTGACCCCGGAGAACCTTTCGAATGTCATGATATTTTTCGTTCACTAATCGAACCACAACTTGCTGACTGGGACCATGTATGCACGCATCTCAGTCTTTTTGTCTGCCATCCTCGCGACACAAGCGGCGGGCTTGCATCCTGTTCGGGATAGGTTGCCCGCTAACCACGCAACGAACGATCTACATGACGGAACAACTCACGAGCGGGCCTACGGAGCACCCAGTTCACCGCGATCAGAACCTATTTTCACCATTCATCGTGGACAAGAGAACGACACCGCAGCCCTAATCCAAAAGGGAGATTGTGTATTCAGCGCATGGGATGAGCTCTACATTACCGATTTCCTTCAAGAACAGCTGGGTTATCTGTCGACGAGCGATCACTGCTGGATCATCAAAGGTGTTCGAGGACTGCAGGAACTCTTACGTCGAAACATTACTGCCAACCCGCTCAACAATGTCACCATTCCGACTTGCGTTTCCCTCAATATCACCAGTAAAGGGAACTCATTTTCCATTGACTTCTCAACAAACTCTTATGAAGTCAACGGGGTTGCCGAAGACACTTTCGTGCTTCTCACCTACGTCCACCGTGAGTTTTCCAACCCTCTGGATAAACTTTTGACTAAACATTCTCTATTTAGTTGTCTGTATGACTGCCGCATTCTTTCTGGCGTATCCCATAATTCTCGTTCTGGCATCAACTCCCAGCTTGTGTATTATGATCGATCGTCCGCTCCAAGAACCAACCAAAGCCAAGATTGATCGATGGCAAACAATCTTCCAGACTTTCGTATTCGCGCCTCTTATGATTGGGGGTCTCGTTACTGGCATCATCGGGATGGGGACATCAGACCATGCTAGGACAGAGCACGGTGTAAGTTCCATTTCACGGATGCCTTGGACTGAGTTAACAGTTAACTGACATTCATGCATCAGATTGTCGGTTACATCACAATAGGCCTGGCGGCAATAGTCGTTCCGCTTTACCTGTACCAACGACGACTCAGCTCACGGCCAGACCTGACGTTCTACATGTATCGAAGGATGAAGTTCATCAACGCTCTGGACTTTATCGTATGCCAAGCGATCCTCGTGATATCCGGCTTTGCACTTCCGGACGGCATTGACGACTTTGGTGTGATGACTTTGTGTGGCACAAACACAATCTCAACATCATTGATATTCTCTCTGGGTATGATCGTGTCCTTTGTATGGAACTGTGCTATGGCAACCATGACAGTGCAATGGCTACTTGGCCAAAGACTTCAAGGAGGAACTTTTCGGGATAGGGCACCACCATGGATGTTGAAGGTT